CCCTTGGTTCCACCCACCTGTGCAAGGCAGAGATGTCGTAATCTCGGCGCCTGCCTTTCCCTGGTACTGCCATCCGTGCTGCGGGCTGTCAGCAAAAGGGACCTCTTGTTCCTTTGTATGATCAGACAAGCCATGGTTCAGGCTGGCTTACAGCAGAAAGATACTGTGCTGTCCCTGAGAGCAGGGGCTCAGGCCCAGGTCTCCCAGTGACCACCACAGTTTTTCTATGCAGTTGGTGCACAAAGACATTCTCAAACTACGGGAAAAACTTTGCAGGATGAGATCTTAATAAACATGACAGAAAGGCAAGGAAAAGGGCTACAAGAAGCACAGGGAATTATATGGTGATTTATGGTCATAAAATTATGTATTCCTAGGGTGTCAGCTAGATAATGAGATTTTAGCATCTCATCTCTATATTGTAGTCACAATTACATTTTGCCTGTACCAAATCAATCTAACCTGGCCCAGTAGCAGTTGGGAAAGAGCATGTGTGTTTTCTACATCAGAGTATCTGCTCTCAGAATATAATTACTGTTACATCTGTTTAGTGATCATAATGTTGTATTCTCAGAGGCCTCCATCAGGACACAGTCCTTGTGCAGTACCTTTTCCAACCTTATTCTTTGCAGTGTCACGTTGTCTAAAGCAACAGATTGCACCCAATTTACTCTGAAGACTACTTAGATAACCAGATGTGGCATGAAGCAGTGATAGCGAAATACTCCTCGGGTTTGGGGTTTTTTTTCTATATTCTGGTACTGGAGGTCTGAAATTATTTAAGAGATGGAGAAGAGCAGGGTGCAGTTTCTGAAGACCTCAGAAGCCCCAGGGAGAGACAGTGCAAGAACACCTGGTCCTTCCAGGTCCCTACGGGCTCCTTCTGCCTTTGGTACATAAGCATCAGCAGGAGAGACGAACGTCTGTCCACACACAGCCAAGAGCAAGAAATGAACAAAGACTGGATTAAATTCATAGGACAGCAGTAACAAATGTTCCCCATAAACAACACATAATTAGATCTTTGCAGGCTAATTATAGGGTTTCAGAATAAGAAAGTGCAAAGCCAATGTCCAAAGGTGAATAATAAATAAAAGAATAAACTAACTAAATTTCCGTGACAGTCCGGCTGGACAGCAACGCCACCTGCCGGCAGATTTCCCAGCACTGATAAAGCAGGAAAAAGCCAGCAGCTTTCTCACCAGGCCTCTCCTGAGGCACCCAGACTCCTCTCTCTCTCGCGCTACCTTTCTCTCACACCACCATCACCCAAAGAACAGCTCACGAATGGAGAGCAAAACAGACACAACTGCTGTTAGCTGTAATATTTAGTGCCCCAGTGGCCAGCATGCTGGTATTGGAACAGTTACAATTTTAAACCTTGTGCCTCTGCGATCCATGTACACTTACCAGACCGAGTATTAATGATATTCCTCACACTGCTTGAATAGGCTCAAAACATGCTTCCTTAGAGTCCTCAGCACCATGTCCTGCTCTCCCCTCAGAAAATGCGAGATATTTCACACCTTTTGTGAACCACAATTTAAGACTAAAATTGAACAGGCAGGAAAAAAATACCTGCTGTCAACAGCCAAATAAATAATGATTTCTGCACTGGACAGTAGCGTAGACTTTGACCAGAGATGGAAATAGAAGGCTAGGTGTTTGCCAATAATTTTAAGCAGCAGCTCCTCAAAAGCTTATCACACTACAGCTTCAAAAATAACCAAGTAGCAGACTGCAGGATTTATTGGTGTGCTCAGGATCTCACATTCTTCAGAAGGACCCACTATCACTTAAAATCCAGCCATTTCATGGAGTGCCCAAATGAGAGTGGAGCTCCCAACCTTGAGTTGAGCAGGAAATTTGGAAGTTTGTTTCTAAATGCACACAGCAAAGACCAGGAGGAGTACCTTTAACACATGCAAAGCATGTCAGAGCTCCATCCAGTGGTCAAGCTCCCCACCCACAACTCACCAGGGCACGGCCAGCAGTGACCCCAGAGCAAGTGGCTTCAGCCTCTCTGACCTCTGCTTTCCCGCCTGCATCTGGAGCTCACTCGGTTCTCCCTGCTGCAGAGGATGACTGGGAAGCTCATTTATTCCTGCAGCATGAAACACCCAAGGACATCAAAACAGCACAACTTGCCTAAGGTTAACCACACTAAATATTGGACCAGGTATCAAAACTGCAGGCCCTGCTTAGCACTGCAGGATGATGCATCTTAGTTCAATGGAGGCAAGCACTTCCAAGACAAAGCGGTATTTATAAGTATTTTCTCATCTTGATCTCTTGTACATTTTTGCATGGGCAAAGGAGTCAAGTTCAGGCAAATCATAAAGGAAACGAGTAACAAATAATTGCATTGCCTGCAAGAACTGGCTGAATTAGTTTATTACTTGCATCAACCAGTCTTTCGTGTTTGGATTTTTGCCTGTTTTCCTTTAAGAAAAGAAACTTACATAAACCTGCTCCATCCCATTCCAATACCTTTTGGGACTAATACAGTTGTATCAATTGTGGAGAGATCTTTAGAAATACCTGGTTCCTTTCCTGCTTCATGACAATTATTCACTAGATCCAGGATGTCCAAATAAGCACCCTCCACTGCACGACTGATGAAAACCACAGTCATTTCACATTTATGCCTGCCTAACTACAGCACACAAGCGGGAGGTAGGACAAGTGGGGTAGAAAGAGCAACAGGCACAAATCCCAAGGGACAATGTCTTACCAGTTCTGCTGCGTGTGGCACAATTTGTAAATGGGTTAGAATACTTAAAAAGAGCGGTGCCAAGGAGGATGCGCACGGCAGCAGCAGCTCAGAGATTATCTCCTTCCTGTCCTTTCCACCCCAGTGACTTCTGTTTCTGGAATTGCTGTTGTTAAAAACACTTACTTGAGGTCTGTGTGACTCCCAGAATGGAAAATGGTGCAGGGACACAGAAAGTGGCTGTGATAGGGAAGACTGTCACACATACACACACAAAAGAAGTAGGTTTCACATCTGAAAGACTTCTATTATTCAGCATTTTAGCAAGAATCTCAAATTGTCCAGCCAGGTAAGCTTCTGCAGCTCCTTCCTTATCCCCCAAGCTCTGCCTCACACCATGATTTCTGACAGCAGCAGTCTCCCTCCATCCCTACCTCATCCTTTTTCTATTCTATTGTTCCAGCCTTCATCTTCCCCCACAATACGCACTTTTTTGAGACCTGGTAGCAAGGCTCTCTGTCAGTGATTTGCATATCAGGTCAACATCCCACTGTATGGGGGATGCTGTACAGTTCCCTTATGCAAATTTCTTGATCTGGATTTCATTGCATTCCTCTACATCTCTTACCTTGCTGTCATAACCTTCACATCTGGTTCAGGCTTTGGTTTGGCTGCATAGTATGAACCTGAAGCAGTATTAAGAAGCTATGCTTTAGTGAAAAGGTCAACAAAATTAACTTCTTTCCTGAGGCAGTCAGGCATGGACAATTTTTCTGCCTGTATGGGCCTGTGCTCACTGAGGAGACTGGAATCTGTTGGCCAGCTCCAAACAGCACCTTCACAGATACTCAGTCCTAAGAAGATGCACGTGATCTCAGTGACTGTGGTGAAAGATGGGGGAGGGATGGATGCAACATGAACTCAAACCTCTTTAGAAACCTGAGCATCTACATGGAGATGGATAGGAAAGAAAAGGTGGCTTATAAAAGCAGCAACTGCTGGGAAGTTTCAGACAGCACTTAGAACTTAGACTGGGCAAGGAGAGAATAAAACTGAGTAACTGCCACAGAACCTAAGCAGCTTGGCTTTCCAAAAAAAAAAAAAAAGTAGTAGTAAATGCTAGCATAGAAATACTCTAAAGTATATCCAGCATGTCAGAACTGAACAGGAGAAATTCCTCTGCCCTGAAACAGGAAAAAAAAATTGTTTGTTTTTCACCTTACTGACATTTCAGAACACTGCTTTCAAAAAGAGCTTCCATCACCAGGTTAAAAGTCAAGGAAACTCCAGTTTTTACCTATATGTTTTCATGGTTTATGTTCATAAGGATGTAAGGATCGTCTTCTGGATCGGGGCTTTAGTTTCTAAAGAGTTACATCTCTGCAAGAATCGCAAAATGTTTCACAACCAAAAAAAAAACCCCTAGGAAAAAGAGAGGATTCTAGCATTTTCAGGTTTCACACATCAGAACAGTTTTTAAATTATCCCTTGAGCAATGGTACAAATCTTCAGATTTACTTAAAACACCATGGCAGACATTACACAAAGAGTTTTGCATTTGTTTGCTCTTTAATGAACTTCCCATGCTCCAACCACTGTACACCTGATATTCTTGTCCAAGTCAACAGCCCTTGACTCCCTTTCTTCAGGCATTCCTAAATTGTGGTTCCTGAGGAGCAGTTGCTACACAAGGGATTCAAGTGGAGTTCCCACATCAGGGTTATGTACACAGGGACCTACTGGGTATTAAGTCAAGGCTCTGTAAGCAGCTGAAACACAAACACAAACACAAACACAAACACACACACACACACACACACACACACACACACACACACACACACGTTCTGCTGGGGTCCAGCTGCATGTCCAGACCTGTCTCATCTCACAGTGGACTGTCAACACACCTGGAGGGTCACTGTCACTGCCTGCCTCAGCATCATTCCTAGGGCTCCTTCTCCTTCCATCAGACTAAGATAAGCAGTATGCACCTTGCTGCACTTCAGACTCAGGAAGATCTGATGCACAGCTCACAGGATCAGAAAGGCAGCCCAGAACTCCAGGGTTTTTAGATCTAGGAACTGCAACTCCAGATCTGGGGGTAAACTACCTCTTGTGAGCTGCCTTTCAAGAGCTGATTCAAATAAGCAAACAAAACCAGAGACCTTCCCTGCTTCTACTTTAGGGTAAAAATCATTCAGCTACCATTATTGCTTTAGAGTATTTTACTGTTACACCTTCTAGTGAGAGAAATAAACTGTCCAGAGAAAGATCACATCTCAAACCCTGAAAGAAAATAATATATTAATCAATGAACTGTCAAAAAATCATTTATGTAAAAGCATGTTCTATTTACAGAGGTCAACTTGCTCTTTAGGACAAGTAAAACCACTACTGGAAAAAATATTCACATAGAAACGCCTCATTTTTCAAATAGACATTTACAAATACTCTGCTTTGTTTAAACTACTCAAAACATTAAGACATTTGAAATGAAGAGTGTGTTCTGCATGCAATTAGGATAGAAATTACACTACTGGACTTCAGTGTCATTTCTTATAATTGTGAACTACACTCTCTTATGATCTTCTACAACACCACAGCCTAGCTATTACCTTAGGATCTCAAAAGGAGGACATGGATCTTCATTACCAAGTACTCTTCGTTTTGCCATTAAAAAAGACATCCTGATTGTCTTCACAGCAGGCGAGTCCAGTCTTGTAAAACTTGGTGTCCTTTTCCCTGAGTTTCCCTTTAGTGTTCTGCTAGGCATGGTGACTGTTGGCTTGGTGCATTGGTAAGTCCCTGGTCAGCACTCTTCTCGTTATAAGGCAGAGTTCAGAAATTCAAGGAGCTCTGCGCGGTTCCGGTCTCTCTGTAGAGCAGAAAAGCAGAGTTTAACAGATCTGTACTCAGCGGACCAAGGCTGCATAACACTGCTTTCTGTGGGGCTTTCACACCTCTGCACACTGCACAACAAACACTACCACATTCAAGCAGTTGGATACGGCCAGCTAGCAGCTAGGTGCGAGTGCCTGGAGGATGTGCAAGACAACAGGTACTCAGCAGAGATGCTACAGGAGACGAGCTGTCACTGTCACTGTTTCCTGATACGCTTTCTAAGTGGCTCCCTGTGGAGGCTCCACTGGGCTGTCATCATGTAGCTCATAGCCTGCTCAGGAGGGAGCTCACAAACAGAACAGATGCAATTCTCTGGAGTCTGAGGACGCTTTCACTGTACACACAGCAAGTCTTGTGCTTGAGGAAGTATCACTTCTTTCTACGCATAAGCAGCAGCTTGCAGCACAATAGAAAGGGAACCATGAATTTAGGTTTGTTCTTTACATAAGAGATGGCCCAAACACTCCAAACATTTGTTTCCAATGTTTTTAAAAATCCCAATTTATAAAACAATTATTGTATCTTAAAATATCGTGAAGAATGGATGTTGTTCAATTCAGCATATTCATGACCATGGACACCAATCAAAAAAGGGCAAACATCAATGAATGACATCAAATATTGTAACAAGCAGGTTACTGGGACAAGACTAGCAAGCATCCAGCATAATTTAACACAAACTTCAGTGCCACAGAAAGAAGAAAATGTATTTTTAATAAAATTTAACTTGGAATGCTCAGGTCTGCTTTGGTAGCTATAGAATTAACTGTTATGGCTGAATTAGAACCCACCAAACTGGATATCTCAGCAAAGTATCACTTCTAACACACACTGACTTGTACCAGGAGCCCTTGTGCGGACCACTCTAAGGTGTGGAAGCTGCTGAAAAGGGTATTTAACACGTATTTAAGTGCTGAGTCCAAACACCCACAGCAATAGCACAAAATGCTATTCATGGTATCTATTTTGCTGGGTACCTCAGCAAAAACATTTGAATGTTCTGAGAGAACACATGAGCACATGGTCTGAAGCCTACTGCCGTCTTATTTTAATTCCTCCTCCCTAAATAATGGCTAGCCTTGCATGTGTTAGAAAACCACAGTAAAGCAGCAATTGCCACAACTGATCCCAAGAGACCGGAAGAACATGAAGACAATTCAAACCAGTGCAAATTACATCAACAGAGATGCCACAAATCAGCTCAGCATTACAGACTGAAATTTCAAGGACCTGCAGAAGCATCCTTTGGCTTATCTACTCATGCCTGAGTACTCCAAGCCCACTCATAACACAAATCCTGCCAAAAAGAATGAATTAAAATTTCTCAAATGGCATCATAACCAAATTAAAAGCTACACTCAATTTACAACTCCAGGCTGTAACATCTATCCTTCTACAAAAGATTACTATTAGAAAAATATTAAAAGATACAGTATTTTCCCTTAGGGATATTTAGACTTGGACTATTTTAACGCTTACCTCTTTATCCTTCTTAGTCTTCTTTATTCTCATCTTAATTTTCTTTCCAGTTATCATGCTGTAGTTGTCATTCTTCTTTTTGTTTTTAAAGAACTAAAATGAGATGACACATTAGAAAGAGATAAGCTTAGCTATATGTTGTAATGTCACAAATCTTAAATACAATTACAGACAATAATCTTTTACACTTCCTAAGTGCCCAAAGAAAGAGAGAAAGGTTTCTATTTGTTTATGACAAAACTGATGGTGTTATAGACACTTTTATGACAGGAAAGATTAAGTATTTAAATAAGAAATATAACAGCACTTCAGACTCACACAGGCATACCTTCGAAAGCTGGACAGGTCCTGTTTTCTCTCTCTTTTTCTTCTTTTCTTTCTTTTTCTTCATTTTGTTCTCCTTTTTCCTTTTCTAAAAGCAGAAGGTGCGTACTCTTATGCTTACAGACTTGTAAGGGCAAAAAAAGGAAATCCACAAGTAGCTCTCAATGCCCCAGCTAGTCAAGACAGCCACTACTGCTTGCCCTTACCACTGCTGAACAGGTACTATCTGGAGTACACAGAAAGTAATGCAGGAAAGGTTAGCAACCCTTCAGATCTCGAGAAACGGAAATGGTCTGATCCTATTCTCTCTCTTTTTATGTAACACAAATATACAAAATCATTGAACTGAAGGTCCTAATAAAAAAGAAAACTTACAACAGTAAGAATCTACTATTCTCTCACTGACTCTAAATCATTACTTATGACAAATTCTATAAAGTTATCAAGACTGCCCATTACTCTTTTCTTCAGAGACTGCTCTAAACTCCAGCTGGACCAGCAACAATTGGGAAAAGGAACTTTTAAATTATTCTCCTTTAGTACACAGTCAAGTATGTGCCAACCTATCAGTTCACCTACTGTAACCCTAAAAGTATGATTCAGATTTACAAAGCCACAAACAAAAGCATTACATCTCACATGACATTTAAGGTTACTGAAATATGAAGAACTATTTTCTGTTTGTTAACTCCTTATTTATCTTTGTAAATTTTTACCTTTTTGTTGTGTTTTTCTTTTTTCTTTTTCTTTGATTTAGACTTGGGAGAATCTAAAATTAGAAAAAAACACAAACAACAAGACAAAAATCAAACCCTGTAAGTTTAGCATTCTGAAAAAGGCATCTAGTTTTACAGATAAGGCATATAGAAATGTAAAACAAAAGAAGAAAATGCTTTAATTTAATTTAATTTATATATATTAACACTAGTTGAAACTAACACTGACAAAAGCAACACATTAACTTAGTGCCACTTACTAGTCTAACACAGAAACTGAAAATACCGGATTTATTCAATGATTCCTTAAACCAATATATTATAGTAATAGAGACAATTCTTCCCTCTTCTTTCTGCAGCAGAGTTCAACAGATTGCAAATACCTGTTTTATAGCCAGACTCTCAAAGGAGGCAACAAAAAGTACTGTTGGGGCTGACAAACCACTGAAAATATTGTCACTGTTCAAGGCAAATGAAAAACTTTTCCTACTTACTTAGCTCACCTCCCAGCTTTGAGGTTATTAGTAACTTCTGTAAAGCAGAAACTCACTAGTTCTATAAGCAAATCATAGACTTTAAAGATTACACTGTGACTGGTATGTGCTACCTTCTGGCCTCCTCACTGGCTCAAACTGTTTCCATACTCGGCCACCCTACTTCCCTACATCGAGCACCGATTTGCCTGCTTGTCTCCTGTCTGAGGAAGCTTCCCAGCTCCACCTAACAAGCTGCAGTCCCAGTTTCTATATCCCAATGTCTCTTTTTCCACATCAAATTGTGTCCTTTCTGCATTCAAGTTAGGTCCACTTTCCATATAGCAGGTGGGGAGATACAACTCGGAGAGCAGAAGACAGTTTCCCTCACTCTCCTCTTGGTTTTCCCAGCCACTGCCCAGTGGTTACAGCAGTGGAAACAGCCAGAGTTACAGCTGCACTTGCTAAATAAGAGAAATATAGATTTAAAAAAACCTGCTGTTTTGCTATGCCCAAGGAACGTTAACTCCACTCCTGCTATACCTGACACATCAGACCAGGGCAGCCTTCATGATTCGAGGTCTTCAACTGCAGCTTAGGCAAGCTATTCCACTGTTCAGCTGCTAGGATGTGTGTGATTTAACTAGATCCAATTTAAATCTCTCCTGTTGCAACTTAAGGTCATTTTTCCTTGCTCTGAAAGTCACAGAAAGATTTTTTGCTCCCATAGTAGCTACTACCTACACCTGTATATCTGGCTTAGCTCAATTACCTCACATCTTCTCTAGATGGAGTAAATCAAGTTGTTTAAATGTGCCTTTGTAGGACATTCTTGCCACATCTTCTGCTCTCCCTTGTAAACGGGAAAACTTTGGGAATTTTTAGATATAATTTCTAAGCATGCAGACTGACAACTTGGGCCTAATTCAGAATTATTTTTTTTGTCAGATAGATGTTTCTTGACACCTCTCCAAAAGATGAATCAGAAAGTACACCAATCATGTTCACACAGTCAGTGTCTGACGTAACATTTTAATGCTTTTTAGAAATGTTAATGTATCACATAGGATAAAATTCATTCAAGAAGAAGGGAAAAGCCCCTCAGTCAAATGTACAAGCTCATAGATATGAATATTTCCAGAATATATTTATAGCAGATACATTGAATCAAGCCACTGACATATGAGAACAGGTAAACCCTCTTCAAGAGAAGAACATCTTTGTTAAACTGTTAAAGACTTTGTTAAACTGATACAAAACCACAAACATGAGGTCCTGTACCAGATAGTGAAACTTCACCCGACTCTGAAGTTGGAGAGTTTTCATCAGAAAAACTCTATTTCTCATATGAGAGTTCTTCCCAATCACAGTAAAAAAAGGATAAAATTCAGTATTTAGCCTAACACATTCTGTTAAAAACAGAATGGCAATGCAGTCATTTTACCTGCAATGATACCGAATATTCTGATACAGAATACCGAAGCAATGCAATCTTGATAGTCAGCAATACATTCCCCTTCATGTCACAAGTTATACACATAGAAAAAAAGTCTGCAGTTTCTGCCAGATAGTACCTTTCTGAATAAACTACCTCAGTCCTTTAAGCTGCAGCTTAGTAGGGAGTGTATTAACCCTGCAACGCTTGCATACATGTTCCCACTGAACTCACTGGTATTAATAAACTTCACATGAGTCCACAAAGTTAAATGCTTGTAAATTTAAAATTAGTTTAAATAAGCTTTAAGTGTTTCTAAGAGTACTAACAAAACTAGCAAACATCATGTATATGCATGGAGGTAGCTTACCTCTGCTACTTGAAGATGATGACCTTGATGATGAGCGTGATGAGGAGGAAGAAGTAGATGTAGTGCTGGAAGACGATGTGGATGAAATGGATGATGATCTGCTTCTACTGCGTTTGCGTTTCCTTTTTTCTTTTCCTTAGGATAACACAAGGCAACAGTGACAAGCATGTTCTAGTAACTATGGTCTACAAAAATCACTTTTCACAGAACTTAAGCACATTCAGTGCCTATTTTGAGGAGGTTTGGGGTTTTTTTTTCCCCTCTTGCAGCATCCCATGGTTTATTACCATTAGCAAGTGACAATGTTCAACATAAGGGTCAAACATGGTGACTGACGTAAAGGATAATACACTCGGCCACTGAAACAGATTTGCAATGCCTACCTTGGACTTTCAGCTCTTCCTGTGAGGTTGCAGACAGTGTCCTACTTTTTTCATCTTTCTTGTTATCCATATCTAGTGAGAGACAGCAGTACGTTCAATAACATCATTTCCAAAATACTTTGGGAGAGAAAAAAAAAAAAGAGCACTGCAGAGACAGAGGAAATCAGTGCGAGCATCCTCACCACCTCTCCTGCAAAACGGCGTCGCACCATGGCAAAGCGCAAGCTTAGACTCTCACTCTCTCTGGAACCTGAGGCCAAATCTCTGTTTTCGTGTCATTTTCACCGAAAATGCGCCGTTCGTACAGCCGCGGGGTTTTGGCCGCAGTAGCCGTCCCGCGGGGTGTGTTTTACCGGATCCGGCCTAGCGCGGTCGAGGAGGCGGCCGTGGGGGCTGCGCACAGCCCGCGGCCGCTGGGAGCACCCCAGCCTGCCCTGTCCTCGCCGTCCCACCCCGCACCCACCCCCTCACGATCGCACACCGGCCCCGCCGG